AGAAGGCATCTTCCCTTAAAGGCAGGTGGCAAGACTACTCCAGTACAGGCAGTAGCTGAGAAGCTGACCAGCTGCCTGCATACTTACACTGGGGTACTCGCTCTTCACAGGCAGTTTATTCAGGTAGCTGTAGGAATGGCCCTTCTGAATGGGGCACTGGATCCCGGACTTGCATCCATCAGGCTCAGGAATAGGGAAGGGTATGTCCACGTGCAGCATCTCCCCGTACACCCTTGCTTTACTGCCCTGGCTCTCGATCTCTGCAAAACACGGAGAACACACGTATACCACACGTGCCCTTCACATATCCCAGAGGCTGCAAGAACACAACTAAGGGACACTCTTCCTCCCCCCCAGATCCTTCTCCAGCCGCGCTTCTCCTTTCCCAGGAGCGGGACACAGAGGGGACCACCTGCCCCTGCCCATTCCCGCTGGGGATGTGCTCCTTACTGCTGGCGAAGGTGACGTTGATGCTGTAGGATGTCCCCTTGTGGAGCAGGCAGGGCTGAGTGGGGCAGGGGCTCACGTTCACCTCCTGGATGCTGCCGTCTATGGAACCTGCAAGGAAGAGTCGGGATTACCGGGCCGTCTCCGCCGGCTGCTCTCCTCCGGCTGCCCCGCGGCCGAGAGCCGGAGCCACTCACCGCAGTCAACGAAGCGGAGGGGCTCGGCCAGGGCGGTGGCGGCGGCGCCCAGCGCCAGGAGCAGGGCGAGCGGGGACGGCACCATGGCGGCGGCGGGAGCGGCGGGAGCGGCAGAGGGCACGGCGGCGGCGGCGGCGGCTCCGCGGTGTCACATGAGCGCGGCGGCCCCGCCCGCCGGTCCGCTGGGACGGGCCCCGCCCGCGGGGCCGGGCCGGAGCCGGGAGTGGCCCGGGGCAGGGACAGCCCGCCCCTGTGGCCGAGGACAAGGCTGCTCGGCGGTGGGAGAGGCATCGTGACAGGGCAGGACAGGACAGCCCGGGAGTGGTGATGGTGTGCTGGAACTACAACCCTTGGACAAACAGACTGACGCCGTCTCCAAAAGCGCTGCCACTGGACATCCCCACTCTCGGGCTGTCCCGGGACAGTCAGTGTCAAAGGCAGCAGCCGGAGGTCAGGCTCAGACACCGGCAGTGCCACGGACCGGGAAGCTCTTTTGCTGCCCCTACTGAAAGGGGATAAAACATTACGCCCACGAAGCTGCTGTAGTAGACTCGTCCGTGCCTTGTTCGTACATATCCCATGCCTCCTGTTCTGCATGTTGAAAGCTGTTTGCGTAACATGAGTGCCAAGAGTTACATCTGCCGTGTACCTGGCGTGTCTGCCACCTTTCACAGAGCACACACACGTCAGTTCTGTTTCTCAGACTCATGAATTGCTAGATACTCCCAGCTTTGTGCTGTGGATGCCAAGGCAAACCAGATGACACTTCAGAAATCGTTTGACCCAGGCTGAAGTTTACAACTTTTCACCAATTTCATATGGTAGCAAATTTTAGCCTTTCTGGGGTCATGTTAGAACACAGCAGAGAGGCACGTGAGTGCTGATTTGGTAGGAACGTGGCAGAGCTGACACAGCGTCCCCGCTTCAGACCTCTGTCCAGTGAGGTGCTGCCTGCTCGGCTGCAGCTGTGCAGACAAGTGACTCAGAGGTGCACCCCACGCTTTGCTCACACCCTCTGCAAAGGGTGTCACATCAGAAAGGAGTGGGGGCTTTTTAATGTTGTTTTTGGTGGGGTTTTTTTTGTTGTTTGTTGGGTTTTTTTTTTAGATTTCAAATAAGCATTCAGTTTCCAGACACATGCATAGCAGGATACTTACCAAAGCCCTATTAAAACAACAACAACAACAACAACAAAACACCCCAAAAAGAAACAAACAAACAAAAAACCCCACACCATCCTCAAAAAAACCCTGTTGAGGCTAAGCCATGTATTTAACACTACCTAGCACACTTTATAACTGACCCAGATAAAGGCTTTTCCTTGCACATGGAAAGCATGCCCTTCAAAAGGCTTCCCTTATCCCCATCCCTCCAGTCTTACAGAAGATAAACACAGCTGCCTATCTGACTGCTGGTAACAGAACTGCAGTCAAGTCAGAGCAACACCATAAAGTGCTGTCACACATTCACAGGATAAGCAATGCTTGGAATTTGCTTGGGAGCAAATTCCACAGTCCATTTAATCAGGATGCCCCCCTGTGAAACAACTCACCACGTATCTTTGCTTCACAGATGCTTTTACACAATGGCAGTGACTATGTACATATAAGTCAACACATATTTCAAAGCCTTTGAACTAAAAATCATTGCATCTAGGATCAAAATTAACATTTCCCCTCCCCACACCCTGAACTGGAGTAGTAAAAAGCCTAATAAGTGTAAGTCTGTAAATCCACAGCCAAGGCCTTTACAGAAGAAAGAAGCAGAAACCTTCTGCCCAAGGTTTTTAGCTGATATTATACATTACTATGGTGTCAGTTTTGCAATAACATTACTAAAGCTTAAATTCCCCAGGGCAGCACAAGCATCTTGGGCCAAACAGACCTTGCTTTTAGGCACATGCCCCCTGTGACATCTGATAACAGGCATAAACCTCCAGGTTCCCTTGGAGCCAAAAATTGCTAAAGAAATATTCAAATCAACTTCAGGCTGATCTCATTATTTTGCGTATGGAGGTCCTTTCAGATTACCAACATCACAGAGAGCTTATGCTGCAGTGCAGAAACACCAGTGGAAAAGGCTAAGAAAGCTAGCAGACAAATTCTCTCCAGCAAGACTGATACTGGACTTGTTAATTTTTGTAGTTCAATCAACTCTATTACACAAGAAAAAAGCCTGAAGTTCCACTTCATCAGCTATCTACACCTGATTAATCCAAATCCCTCCAACAGCACAGCACTTGCAGCTCAGTAAATAGATGTGCTTGCAGGCAATACAGTGTCAGTGAATACAGCAGGCAGGTTCTCAAGAAAACCCACATGCAGAGACTAATCAATTTAACTGTTCTCTCAGCCAGAACATGCTCCTTTTGCTACAGATTGTCAGAATTCACATTTAAATTCATCACATCCACTCTTGCATTCAACACCACGCCAGAGGTTTTATTATCATCAGTTTCTGAAGCACTGAAACAAGTTTTGTTTCCCTTCAAAATAGATACAAGATGATTTTAGCATCATATTGCAGAGGAGAAATGAGCAAAATATCTAGAAAATTCAACTCCCAGATAAATCTCTTCAGTACACTGTGCTTCAAGGGAGCTAAAGGAACTCCCCAAACCAAGACACCACAAACCAGAATAACAGAAAATCAAAGCACAAACTTAAAAACACATTATGTCTACCTATCAGAAACAAGATGACCAACAAAATCAGAACCCAAGAAGGAAGAAAAACTAGACTGTAACTCTGTGAAAAAAAAGCAACCAACCATCCCTGCACCACATAGCTGACTGAAGGAAAAAATGGCCAGTGATAAAGAGATGCAAGGGAATAGCTGTTCTCCTTAATTACCCCCACCTCCCCTTGTCACACCAAAAAGTTGTCCCCAGAACATGAGTCTCTCCTCATACAGCAGATTATTAATTATATTAACTGTGAGTGATGCTAGTTGGCCTTTTCCTCATTCTTTCAGTCTGCAGTAATCATTTCACAATGTCCCAAAGGCCCTTGAAGCTGCTTGCCACACTTCTGTCACTTAACACCTTTCTGTCACTTTAACACAGTAAAAATGAAGGTAACTCCAAAGTAAGCGTTTTTTTGGGGCTACATCCATTCTCCAAGAAGCGTTCACAGTGAATACAGCCACAACATGGAGAAATGCAGGAAGATCAATCTAATACACCCTACAGCAGTGAGAAAGAAAGCTAATGCAATACGGAAAGAAATCAGGCATGATTCCTCCGTGTCTTTTCTCTGAGGTTTTCATTCCCTCCTCCAAAATTGTCAGCTTGTCAGTTGTCAGGGATGCCACATTGATAATAACCAAGAAACACACCAATATGTTTTTATTTAAACATTCAGTGTTCCAATATGCCTGATGAGGATTCATGAACTATTGCAGGTGCCTGCATTAGTACCACTCCTGCTAGGACCGTGCCTGTGGTACTTTCCTGGCTTTATCCTAGCATCATTAGAGCTAACACAAGAGTAGGCAAAATTAAACAGCTCAAACCAGTCTTTATTTACATGCTCAGGCTGGAACAGAAAGCAGAAGCCCGTGGTTACAGAAGAATCACTTTGCTTGGAGCAGGATGGTGAGAAAGCAAACTGTGACAAGGTCCTGAAGTCCTCTGACAGTAAATCACCCCCTCCTGCTGGGATGACAGGTTTTCTTCCACCAGTCTTTCACACAGTCACTGTATGACGCTCCACAGGCCTGGCTGGGGCTGAGGAACAGGATTCCTCCCCCAGAAGCACATGAGGAACAGAGATAAAGACTCTTTTAACCACATGCGCTCCGTGATCGACCCGCCAGGCCACTATCACACGGCAAACGACCAGGAGGAGCTTAAACCACCGTGGGAGGCCAACGTGCCCCGGCTGGCCGTAGGGCCTGCCTGGAGTCGGGCGAGCCCTCCGGGGCCGCGGCCGGGGCCGCCTGCCACCCTTGCTGCGGTGAGAGGCGAGGGGAGCGCGGCTGTGAGGCCGAGCAAGAGCTCCGGCTAGGGAAGACTGGCCTCCACCTGATAAAGGAGAACTAACCAGAAAAGGCGGAATCAGAGAGAATCCCTAAACCCCCCGTGTTTGCTTTTCAAAGATCCCTAAAACCCAACTCCCCTGGCGGCACCTTGATGCTTCTCTGGGTTCTGCTCAGGATAACCTTACGTTTAATGCCGGGACAAGCATGCGCGGACGGACAGCGCTCACTGTTTATTTTATTACTCTGCACTGCTTCTTGGCTGCGAACACCCCGAAAAGCGAACAGCAGCTTCGTGCCTTTGAGCGGCTGTAAGCGGGCCCCGCAGCCGAGCACTGCCCGAGGAGGGCCAGCGGTACCTCCAGAGGCACCGCCGCGGCCGCCCCGGCGCCGCCCCGCTGTGGGCGCGGCCGCACTTCCGCCATGGCGGCGGGGCGGGGCTGGGCTGGCATGGCGGCGCCGGCGGCCCTGCGGTGGTGGTGGATGTTGGCGCTGGGCGGCCGGACGAGGTACCGTTCCCTTGGGCACTCGGCCCCCTGGACCCTCCCTCGGGGGCACAGAACGTCCCCGCTGCGCGGCAGGGGGTGGTGGCTGCAGGGGCCGGGCCCGCCGCCCGCTCCGGCGGCGCGGACCCCTCTGAGGCGCCCCCTCTCCCTTCTTCCCGAGGCAGCCGGTGCTCCGCTTCACCGTGCCCAGGCCGAGCGCTGCCGAGACCCCCGGCCGGCCCTGCCCGCCCAGCTGGCTCCCTGCTGCGCTGGGCGTCGTCATTCTCCGAGCCGGGCCCGACGGAGAGCGGCCCCAGCGAAGGACAGATCTTCCTCAGCGAGAGCTGCGTGAAGGTGGGGACCCTGGGAGGAGTCTGGTGTCTCTGGGAGGGTTTCCACCCTGCCTGCCCTGCCGTCACGCAGTGGAGACGTTTGAGTGTTCGCTAGTTTGTTCAGCAGGCCTTTAAATCCTCTTCTTTTTATTTATTTGCAGAGGCTGCTGGAGATTGCAGAAGGATCAGAGTTTCTCAGGCTGCAGGTGGAAGGAGGTGGCTGCTCTGGCTTTCAGTACAAGTTTTCCTTGGACACAGTTATCAATCCTGATGACAGGCAAGGACAAAGGACATTTTGGTGGTCAGGTGTTACTGTTCTTGGCAAAAATGGCAGGAGGGGTATGCGTGAGATGATAGTGTCTTGCATTGAAGAGAAGAAGCCTGTGAGATAAGGAGCATGCTGAGGTTGTTCTTCACTGTAAAGTTTTTGGCATAGTTAATAGGTAAATATGCTGCTTTTTTTTTGCAGGGTGTTTGAACAAGGTGGTGCCCGTGTGGTTGTGGATGCGGACAGCCTGGCCTTTGTGAAAGGATCCATGGTGGATTTCAGCCAAGAGCTGATCCGAAGCTCCTTCCAGGTGGTGAGCAACCCCCAGGCAGAGAAGGGTTGCTCATGTGGGACTTCCTTCTCTGTCAAATTCTGACTCGACTTACCTTGGATGGACACTGTTAGCAGACACTTTTGGCAGTCTCCAGAGGGTTTATGTTTGTTCTTTTCCCTGCTGGTCCCTCTCATCTCCCTTACCCTGTGACACAGCTGTAACACAATACTGCAGCTGTGTGTGTGTTTGCACTGAGCCTGTCTCCAAGACTTCCTGGCCTTCCCTTCAGAAACGATGAAGTAACCGTGAGCATGCACACAGGAGCATCTTCAGCGCCTTGTGAACCACTGGCCAGGTGGTGCTGACTGCCTGCCCTATCCTGATTGTGGAACTACTTAACTGTCTCTGCAAGAGAAGGCTGTGTGTATATATATATGTGTGTGTTTATTGAAAGGTCTTACTAAAAAAAGTATATGAGGTTGATTGGTAGTGCTTGTGCATTTACATACAGGTAGGATCTGGGTTCTTTCAGGCTAGTGTTGCTTATTCCTTATCTTCCAAACAAATGGGACATGGAGTCTTTCTCACATGTACTGCTGACTCTCCACTGCCAGGCTTAGAGTGGCTTTTCCAGATAAGTTTCTTTTTTCTTGCTGAACAGGATTCTTTTGGTCCCAGGAACCTATGGTGGCTTTGCTGTAAGTTTCTGGGATGATGGTTTTTACTTGTTCAGAGTAAGTGAAACAAAAAAAAATGAGGTAGGAAGAATTAGTAGCTTGTGTCTTTTATATATAAAAAGAAGAAAAACCGTGTATATATATATATATATATATATATATATATATAAATAAAATACACAGCTCTCTATGCTCCAGTACTATTTCAGCCTGACTTGGAATTTTAGGTCATATGGACTCTCAGGTTTCATAGTGTGGTTGCTGCCTGCTCTTGCCAGCAGGAAGGGAGGTTAAGGTGATAGAGGAGAGCAGGAGTACTGCTTAAAGCTTCACAAGTCCTTTTGACTTACAGTTGTCTGGGAAGCTTTTCCATAACTTGGTTTACCATTTGGTCTCTGTCTAACGTACATGGTTTGATGAAAGACTGGAATTGCTCCACTCCTTTCTATGACTCCCATGGAATGGGAAGTCTAGAAGTTTCCAGAATAACACCTTTCAATTAGTAATTTTCTACAGTTTTTTATCTGCCACTAGATGTCTTTTAAGTCAGTGATTCACCTGCTTCTGGATGAAAGGAGAGAAGGGGAAGCTATTTTTGTTCCCTCTTTTGTGTTTTATCTGATCATAACCAAATTGTTTAAGACTTTTATCTTTCACGTGAGTGTGGGAGCACTGCATGACTTTGGTCTCAAGGGAACCGCCTATGGCAAACTATGAGCTCTTCAAGACCATGCCACAGGCATTTTTTGTTAAGCTTCCTAAAAGCCTTTTTAAACTATTTAGTAGTGTTCAGCTCTGTTTTGTCTATTTATTTCTAGTGCTCCAAGCTGATAGCCAGCTAGTTGCAGTTGCATCAGCAGATGTTACAGGAGCTCATATATGATCTGTTCTGACTTTGTCACGTGGGGATGCATGCGGATAAGATGTGGAGCAGTGGCTCTTTTAGTTTAGCCCTTTCCATTTCCTGTAGCCAACAACCTCTGCCTAGTAATGTTGGTACCAGAAAGAGCTGTCACATTTTGTAAAGGAACTAAAAGGATGTGGTTAAAAGACTCGTCTAAGCCCCTTCAGGGCTTTATGCTTCCAAATCTTGAAGGTGGTGTTAGCCAGAATTGCCTTTGAAAAGTGTAAGACCTTAAAGCTTGTCTAGGTAGAATACGTTAGATAAAATCAATTTCTTTCAGCTGGGATAGCTAAAAGTAGGCCAGAGGAGTTACTGTCTGAACCAGGAAGATCTATTCTTGATCCATTTCACACAGACTGACCTAGGTCAAGTCTCTTTTGAGATCTTTTATGGGAAATAAAAGTGTAGCAGTAGTGCTGGAGAGGTAGCAAGCCAGCAGATACCAAGGTTTTTCTTCCCTGGACTAAAGTCAGCCTTCAGCCCCTGTAAACATGCAGGCTTCATCTTGGATTAGTGTTCTTGCTGAATGTAAATGTGCTGTCTGTTCAGCTTGCCAGGTTCCACTTGCCTACACTTGCGCTGTGCCGATGCAGTAGATGGAGCAGGTGGTGTCCACGAGGGGTGCTGCCCCTTGCAGAGGGTTTGCCTCTCGCTCCGAGGGACTGTGCTGAGCACAAGGCTTTGGTGCCCACCAGTGTCACTTGCAGCGTTGCTGTGCAGCTCGCATGTGTGCTGTGCTCTGCCCGCGGTTCTGGCAGTACTGCTCTGACTGCACTAGGTGGACCCCTTTCTCCTTGGGACTCACTGCCCTGGACATACACAGGCATTCTGGGCTGAGGTTGGATTTGCTCCGTGCAGGACCTAAGCAAGAGCAAAAGTTTCTTTGCAGCTGTCTGTTTTGGAGGCAGGCTGGTATTGCTGCAGCGTGGTTTTTAGATCAGAGAAACTGCTAGGAGCTGGAGAGATTCCAGCCCGTACACTGTGTTGCTCTTGGCTTCCTAGACCTGCTTCTTGGGAGAAGGTGAACTTATTGGTGAAAGCTTTTCCAGTTCCCATTAGGGAATGGATGCAAAGGGCTGTCTGTCTCCTCCAGAGTTGTCCTGGCTCTTTAGAAGTCTGTCAGTACATCAGAATTTCTGTCAATGTTAGGAAGTCAGCAGAGGGGCTCTTGTTGACAGAGTGGTACAAAGGTGATCTTGGTTTATTTTTGGCTGTGTAGGCAGAAAGGCTAGGTCTTGGTTCCTACTGAAAAAGCCTAACCTGTCAAGTTTTGTGCACTGAATAGGTGACAAAGATGGCACCACACTGTAGCCTGTGGGGCAAGACTTGTGGTGCCAAGAGAAGGACACAGAAGATGAGACAAGGAATTTGATGCTGCCTAGACCATGAGGGAGTGCCAAGGTGTGTCTGCAGGAGGTCTGCAGTGTGGGAGTAGTTGGGAGCCCTTGTACTGAGCCACTGAGAAGGAGCTGGAGGTGCTGCCTTCACTTCATGCCAAATGAGAAACTGCAGTGGAAAATCTTTCTCTGCTCCCACATAAAAAGAAGGAGGATTCTCTCAGTTCACCCACCTGACAAGGAATGAATGATCAAGAAAGATATTTATGGAAACTTTAAGATGAAACTTCAAGGGAAAAGGGCACAATCATCAGTGTCAGTGACAAGAAGGTAGAAGAAGATGGAATAAAAATTCTCCCTTTGGTGAGAGCTTCTGGGAACTCTGTAGAGACTTCTTGGTAGATGACCAGCACATCCTCAGCCTGTGACTGGCTCTGTTCTTCAGATTCAGTATCTGTCTGTCTTAACTGAAGGTCCCACTTCAAGGCCTCAAGCCAGGCAGTGGTAGGGAAATAGGAGATCTTCGTTATCCCTGGTTTTTGTGGTTTAGGGATATGCACAAGTGGTTTGCTTGTGTTGGTGGGCCCATGTGGTATCATTTACTACAAAAAGCATTTTGAGGTGAGTAGCTACAATAGGACCAATGGCCAACCTAAGGTCAATGTTAGGGGAATAGCAGTCCGTCTCACCCACAAATTTTCATCTGCAAAATTTCACTATTCTCAGACCTTCCTCTTGTGTCATTATACATCTGTATAGAGCTGTTGGGTGAGTCAGGAAGACAGCTAAGGTTGTGGATCCAGTACCCTCTGGGTGACACCCACTGGGACTTCTGCTTCTCCCACACGGTAGTATAATTTCTTGCCACTTTAAGGGCTTGTCTGAATCCAGCACCTGGGGGAGGAATCATTGAACAGTGGAGGAGGCAGTAATAGAAAGGCAGATATGCATGAAAGAAGGCTTCTCTTGTCTGTTTCCCACGCTGGGAAGGCACATGCTTTGTACTAAGACTGCCTTCAACCTTACAAACATTTCAAACATCTGGTGGCAGCTGCAAGTAAAAATCAGGAGTTTTTAAAATTGAGTTTTTACTCAAGTTGGGACTGGTCTGTGGAGTTTATTGTATTATAGGTTGTCCTGAGTTGGAAGGGACCCACAAGGATCATTGAGTCCTACTCCTGGCCCCACACAGAGTCACATGTACCTGAGAGCATTGTACAAATGCTTCTTGAACTCTGGCAGGCTTGGTCCTGTAATCATTTCCCCATGAAGCCTAATCCAGTCTCATTCACCCTCTGGATGAAGAATCTCTTTCTAATATCTAACCTGAACCTCCCCTGACAACTTCATGCCATTTCCTTGGGTCCTGTCACTGATCACTACAAACAAAATCAGTGTCTACCACTCCTCCTCACAAGAAAGTTGTAACTGCAGTGAGGTCTCCCCTCAGTCTGCTCCAGGCTGAACAGTGACCAAGTGACCTCAGCCACTCCTCATACAGCTTTTCTCAAGGCCCTCACATCTTCATTGCCCTCCTTTGGACACTCTCTAATAGCTTTGTATCCTTCCTATATTGTGGCACCCAAAACTGCCCCCAGCACTCGAGGTGAGGCTGACCCAGTGCAGAGCAGGACAATCCCCTCCCTTGCCTGGCTGGCCATGCTGTGCCTGATGCCCCCCAGGACAGGGTTGGCCCTCCTGGCTGCCAGGGCACTGCTGGCTCAGATTCAGCTTGCCATCAGCCAGGACCCCTGGTCCCTTTCCGTGGGGCTACTCTTGGGAGTTCAGAGAAAAATTCAGAGCAAGTGTGCTGTATTTCATGACGAGCTGCTACAACACGTGCTTAAGGACTGAACCAGACATTGTCTCCACAAGCAAACACCACCATCAAATTCATTAGCAGAGAGCATGATGGTATGTGCAGTGTTTTGATACTCCCTTTTCTCTGCCTGTTTTCATGCACACCAGCCAAAGTTCTGACCATGCTTCTCTGGAATGGGCCATAGCTGCCAGAGAGACTGGCAATAGAGGAAGGGATAGCCTTGTGTAATGGTGTGTTTGATACAACTGTCAGCCAGCCTGGATAAAGAACCACAGTTCAAGGACACAGAGCATTGGCAAGAATAAACTGCAGCCACCTGTGTTGTATCAAACTTCTATTTGGGAAGCTCTTTATTGGCTTTTTTTTTCTTCTTTTTTTTTTTTCATTTTCCCCCCTTTTTTTCTTCTTTTAGTTTTCTACTTTTTCCAAATTTTCTAGTTTTTCTAACTTTTCTAATTTTCTACTTTTTGAATTCTCAATCCAAATGCCATTAGGGGCTAGGTAGAGGATTAATGGTGCAGTTCAGATCCTGCTGGGTTCTAAGGAATATGTTTGCTCTGCATGGTTTCCAGGATTAGGCTGCAACTGGCTTTGATCTGTGCAGATACCTGCCCAGGAAGCAGCTCAGTAGATCTTGAACTTTGGGTTGGTTTAGTATCCAGCTGTGGACAGAAATACTGTGTGAGTCAGCTGAAGCTGTTCATGACAGTGAGATGGGCCATTACACCAAGGCTGTGATTCTG